CAATGGGCAGCCAGTGCAGCTTGCGGAGGATAGGTGGGGGTACCTAGGGGCACCCACAATCGCTCACGCGGCTGCATTCTGGACTAACTGAAGTCTTCGAACGCTCTTCAAGGGCAGCCCCATGTAGAGCGCGTTACAGTAATCCAGTCTTGAGGTGACAAGGCCGTGAGTGACTATCCGAAGTTGAATAGGCAGACTTTGAAACACTTCTTTTTAAAAGCAGATGATTTCACTGAGGGCGGCATAAGGACTGTGGTTGACCTTGGGGAGGCGTGGCCAACTGGGTGGGTGTGGCCAGCTTGATGCCACTCCCCAAACTTCTGATATGTTTCCTCTTCGCATTGAGTAGACCGGGCTGAAGCTACGCTGGCCTAATCTTTCCTCTTCGCACTGCGTAGACCAGATGGGCCGGATCTAACCACATTGTGGGCCGGATCCGGCCCATGGGCCTTGAGTTTGACACTCCTGATCTACATTTATAGAACTGAAGCCATATCCGTCAGCTTGTATCCAAAATAGGAGCTTATTAAACTGGATCATGCTTTAGGATTACTTTAGAAAAACAATGGTGTTTGCTACGGAGAGATTTGCTCCCCCCTCGTGAGAACAAACGCTCCTGATTTCCATCTTACATATCCAACTTACCCTCTCCGACTTGTGTTGGCCCAGTCAAAGACCTTGTGCATGGCGGTCACACCTTCGCGCCCCATAGGGGCGACGTCGCCACCTGTCATGATGGCGTAATCCATGCCAGAATGCATGGCTAATTTCTAGAAAGAGAAAAGAGAGGTGAATGGGTGAATGAAGATCTTTGGTACATTCAGAACATCTGGTATGAAAGCCGATTATGAACTTTTGGGGGGTTAAAAGAAACGAACTTAATGATTTATGGTTTTGATGAATACAGATTATAGAAAGAGAACGTGATGTAACTTTGTGAGAGGGGTTAAACTATAATTGTAGTTATAATTGGATGGTGCAGAAATGGACAGACAGTAAAAAGCACAAGGAAGAGAATATTTTTTAACATGGGATTGTATTTTATCAGTGGCTAGATAATAAAGGTAAAGATTCCCTTTGCACATATGTGCTAGTCGTTCCCAACTCTAGAGGGCGATGCTCATCTCTGTTTCAAAGCCCAAGAGCCAGCGCTGTCTGAAGACATCTCCGTGGTCATGTGGCCGGCATGACTCAACGCCGAAGGCGCACGAAGGCTGTTCCCTTCCCACCAAAGGTGGTCCCTATTTTTTCTACTTGCATTTTTATGTGCTTTCGAACTGCTAGGTTGGCAGAAGCTGGGATAAATCACGGGGGCTCCCTCCGTTACGCAGCACTAGGATTCGAACCGTTGAACTGCCGACCTTCTGATCGACAAGTGCCATAGGTTTGCCATCATGGGACTAGAAGATCTTCAGGTTAGGGTTTGACAGAATAATGATAAAACTGGGGCATTACCTTGGCAAAAAGAGTCTTCCCCGTTCCTGGAGGTCCATACATGAGGATATTCCGATAGAGGCTTCTGTTATTCCTTGTGTTCCGGGTCGCAATGGCTATGTCTCGCACCCGTTCCTCCAGTGTTGGCTGCAAAGGACCCAACCACCCCACAAAAGCAGCATTAAGGCTTGGCAGGTGGAAAGTTCACAGTCAGGCCTTCAAGCCGTCTTTTCTTTTGGATCTTTGGCCTGCCAAAACTTTCTATTATTCTACTATGCATTTTCTATGGTTTGAAAATGGGAGAGGGGAATCTTACGGGGTTGGGCGATATGTAGCCATAACAATATTCTTTCTAGAAAGCCAAGGTCATCCTTTGTCTCTGCACCTGGCCGGAATTGGATGGGTGGAAATGCCAGCGTGGCAGTGGGAGATTGGACCGTGGGATGGACTTTGTGGGTGTTGGGGCCAGGATCTTGAACTTTCAATCAGGAAGTGCATTCCTGATTATGGCAGGATTGAAATAGGGGGATTAGTTAGGAAGGGTAAAATCTGCCGGAATCTTGTACTGGAGCCTACACAAAGCTTTTGGTTTCCTCTGGGGAGATGTGAGGTATGCGTGTCAGAATCTAGTTGCTACTCAAGGAGAGGCTTTCTATATGACCAAGGGAGCATATGTGTGCGCGAGTGAGATATGTGCGTATGTGTCTTTCCCCACCTGGCTATTACTTACTCATTTTGGTATTTGGTCCTTGGGAAAAGTATAACAAAGGAAACCTTTGGGCAAATCTAGAAGCTTTCAGATTCGGGTTTTCCCAGATGTGCCAACATGGCTCTCTTAATAAATTGGAACTTTGAGGAATCTTTTGCCTCGGACTCTTGATTTACTTTGGGATGCTATTTGGAACCCT